GGGGCTTGGTGGAAGCTGGAGAGAAGCTCTCCAGCAACAAGCTATGATCATCAGGCTATTGTTCAATGTTTCAGGAGCAGAGGGGACTTCCAGAACCTGGAGATATCATCTGCAGTTCAGAAGATGCTCATGGCTGTTGTCTGACTGCCAGACTGAGACCAGCAGTGACGCTTGTCGCCTCACGTGTGGATCCCGAGTGTAGCAGACAGTGACAGTGCATGCACATTGACTGGGCCCCCACATCCACCTGTGAAATCCCCACTGTACAGATGAGGTGACTGCGGCCGAAGGAGCCCAAAGGGCTTCCCCAGCATCGCACAGCCAGTCCTGTCCTGGTCCTACACAGGTGTCCCCCTTCCCAATGTTACCCTCCTCAGGAGAATCCCAACAGCAGAGCTGCTTTCCCGGTGGGGGCTGTCCTCCGCAAACGGTTCACCCCAAGAGAGGAGTTTATAATTCCCCGCCTGTGAAGGAGTGAAAGGAGCAGGAACTTTGAAATCAGCAAACTTGCTAAGCTGTAAGAAAGGAGGGGGGTACTGTCGGGCCTGCCTCCCTGGCTTTCACGGGCATCAAATGAGATGCACGAGGTGGAGTGCTTAACGCATGTTAGTTACTGTGGTCTTCAGCACGTGGTTGATAAAGAGGCTCTGGGGCCTCCTCAACCTTTCAGGATAGTTGATGAAGCTGCTCCGCAGAGCCTGGCAGCTCAGGGCCTGGAACACAGCTGTATTTCAGCAAAGTGGATGCAAGGAGTCCCAGGGGTTCATTTCTCAGGCCACACAGAGGAATGAGATAATACCAGTGTTTTCTTAAAGCTTCCAGATTAAACAAAGATGATGGTGTGTGTGTGTGTGTGTGTGTGTGTGTGTGTGTGTGTGTGTGTGTGTGTCCGTGTCCAAACAGCCTCTTAATTTTGCTGAATTGCCTTAAAGCCCACAGAGGAAGGTTCTCTGAGCCCAAGTGCACATCCAGTCACACAGGGGTCATTTCTGTTGCAAAGCTCCTCTGTCTTATCACATCATCGTTCCATTTGCTGATGAATGCAGAGTGCTTATAAAAAGCACTCCTCCATTAAAGTCGTCTAGTACACACGAAGAAGCAGTCAAGAGTGTTACAGAACCAATTTCTTTTTTTAATATTTCCAGGAAAGGGGGAACATAAATTCTGCTGAAGTCATTTAAAGTCATAAACCTTTAAATGTTTGCAGTGTGTTCTACTGACTGAAGTTTTCCAGTTGATGCAGGCCGTGGTGCACCACGATAATGCAGTCTCTCCGTGGCGCCAGGGAAATGGTACTTCTGAATGGTTTCCAACTGACATTGCTCAGGAAAAGGTTATTTTTCCTTCATGGCATTGATTTCTTAAGTAAATCATTTGACTCTGGAGTCAAGATAAAATGGAGCCTTTGCTTTTTGAAGTTAGTTCTTGCAAGGGGATCTTTTATTTTTAGTCACATCAAAAGTACACCCTGGAGCTGGGGATGGGGCTCAGTCAGGAGAGCGCCTGTCCAGCATGCACCGAGATCTAGGCTTCATCCCAATGCCCACATAAACCAGGCATTGCGGAGGCACATACCTACAATCCTGGCATGTGGGAGGGAGAGGCGAGAGGGAAGAATTCAAGGTCATTCTCCACTGCATAGAGTTGGAAACCAGTCTGGCTTACTGAGACTTTGTGTCAGAATTTAAGAAATGTTTTTAAGTACATCTTGTTTCCTTTTCTCTAAGCACTACATCACACGGGTTTCCAGTTTGTCCTATTCCAAAGTCAGGCTTCAAAGCCTGCATCTCAGTCCTTCCTATGCATTGTCTCTTTGTCAGTTAAGAAAACATCCACTGCTCACACCATCATGCAGCAAAAATGCCTTGGTCTCCCACACAATCCACGGGGAAGCTCTCCTGATGTCTGCCTTCTGCTCCTACCCCTACTCCAGCTCACAAGTTCCAGTGTTTGGAATGCCAGCGTGTCAGCTGAACGGGGGAGGAAACCTTCACTCTAGCCTTATTCATTCTGCCTTTTGAGTCTGAATGTCCTTTGGGGCTGTCAAGTAAAGGGACCTGCCACCAAGCCTGATGATCTGAGTTTCAATTCCTGGGACCCAAAAGGTAGAGAGAACCACTGCTTGTAAATACTCCTCCAACTTCCACACAGGTGCACACACACACACACACACACACACACACACACACACACACACACACACACACGTCCTTTCCTCTAGGTAAGTCTTTATAAACACCATGGCCTAGATTAGGCCCTGGAATTCTCTGTCTCACCTTGCCCTGAATTCTTCCTCCATTACATTGTTAACAATCCAGGCTACTTTTGCATTTGTGGATTTATATGTCCCTCTGGCCAAAGTGTAACCCATCAAAGAATGAGGCCTTTCTCTTTGCCCATGGCTGTGAGCACTGAATGAGGCCTTAAAGAAAAACAAACCACAGGGACACAGGACTTACCGCACAGCTTGTTCTGGAACACTGAGGTCAAAGACTCGATCTGGCTGAAATTGGCCACCAGGAAGACGTGGTCCTTGTGGGGCTCACTCCCAATGGCCTTTAGCGTGTTCAGGTCCACCTGACCCACACCAATGGCAAAGATCAGGATGCCTGTGTCCCGGGCCTTTGCCGCCACCTCAGCCACTGAGTCCTGAGGTCTCCCATCGGTCACAATCATGATGATCCGTGGCACATTCTCCCGCAAGGGCCGGGCCCCCTCTACTTCTGAGAAAGCGATGTTGAGGGCATACTGTATGGCCAGCCCTGTCATGGTGCCTGTGGACAGATGCCTCATCCTCTTGACAGCTCTCTCCACCTCAGATTTCCTCTTAAAGGTCTTCAGGGAGAACTCATTCTTGACTGTGCTGCCATACTGGAGCAGACCGACTCGGGTAACATCAGGGCCAATATCCAAGAACTGCAGGATATCCAGAATGAACTCCTTGACCTCTGCATAGTCATGGGTGTTGACACTTCGGGAGCTGTCGATGATGAACACCAGATCCGCTCGCTTATTCTCACAGGAGCTCTCTGTAAAAAGAACAGAGGTCACAAATAATCAGATGGGAAGTGTTCAGATTTTCTTTTCTGTTTCTGTAATAAAACACTGGCCCAAAAGCAACATGGGGATATTTGGCTTACAGGTTATAGTTCAACATCAAGGAAAGCCAAGGAAGAGACTGGAGAAATGCTACCTATTGGCTTGCATCCCCTGGCTTTCTCAGCTACTTTTGTGTGACTGCTCGCGGTGGGCTGGGCCCTCCTACATCATCAGCTTTCAAATGTCCCCACAGACATGTCCACAGGCCAATCAGATGGAGACAATTCCTAAATTGAGTTTTTCTCTTCCCAGGTATGTGTAAGTTTGTGCCAAGCTGACCAGAAACAGTGATAAGAGGTAAGAACCCAATGCAGATTGACTCTTGTGGAAAATCTTAGGAGTTAGAGTCACCTTTAGAACCTCCAAAATTCAGCTTTATTCTTACCAAGAAAGCTGTCGGGCATATCTGTGCAAACCAGATGATCATCCCTTAGCTAAACACAGAATTTCTTTTTGTAAGATAAATCTACAAAGTCACCAAGCCGGTTTCAGTCAAACCCTTTATCAGAGTCAAAATTATTTTACTATCTGTGGCATGGTTCATAAGTTTGACAGGACACTGCGAAGACTGGAAAATACTTAAGAGGGCCTAATATCAAATGACCTGCAATCTGTTCTGGAAGATTGAGCTAAGAGAACAGTAAAAGACTAAGATGTGTTAAACTGAGTTTCTACCACAGACTAAGAGAACAGCAGTAGGTCTGGAGAGATGGCTCAGCAGTGAGGAGCACTGGCTGTTCTTGCACAAGACCTGGGTTTAATTCCCAGCACCCACACAGTGGCTAACAACTGTTTGTAATTCTAATTCCAGGGGGCTCTGACACACTCAAGGGCCAATGTATGTACATGGTACACAGGCTTGCATGCAGTCAAAATGCCCATAAAAAAATTAAGACATCTTTTTTCCAAAGATAAGGCGGGGGGAGGAAGCGTACTGGGGTATCAAGGGCTGAGGACAGATGAAACCCGAGCTGACTTGTGAAAACAGAATGTTTGGCTTGAGAGAATACATGGAGAGGGGCTCATGACCAAAGCCCTCACCAGGATGGATGTGGTGGGTAACAGAAGAAGCACCTTTAGAACACAGGGAATACTAGGAACGACTGGGCGGGATTAGTTGAAAATATTCTGAAACCAACTCTAAAAGACCTTTCAGTTCAGACTCAGAAATCTGTACACAGGTCACAGATGGCATGGTATCTTAGCATATTATGTAATATCTCTTGTATGGAAGTTGCATGATTACAATCAACTGAATCAGAATTTGGAGGTGCAGCTTGGCTGTAGAGCATGTGCCTAGCACGTCTGAGACCCTGAGTTAAATCCTCAGCATGGGAAAAATGGTTGAGCTTGAGTCTGGCAGAGGTTCCACCCACTCCGCTGTTAGAATGTCTGAGAGATGTAAGTGACAACCTGTTACTGTTTGGATGTGGTGGAGAACATTCCCCAAAGGCTCACGTGTCCAGATTTAATCCCTGCTGTGAAGCGTGAGAACAGAAGCTTGATGCAGCTACAGTGTGCAGAGGTCAGACTTTGCCAGGAATTAGGATTGAACATGCTCTTGGAGCGGAGCCTCCATGACCGAGCTCTGGTGACTTTTTAATAAGAGAGCCAGAGGCCAGAAGACACACCATCTACACATACACTTCCTTAGTATAAATGTCGTGTGCCTCCTTGGGTGTCTAACAGCAAAAAGCCATTTTTTGACTCACAGAGCTCTGAGTGAAAATAACTCATTGTATTTTCATTCTGCACGTGTGCATATGTTTGGGGTTGTGTATGTATGTGTGTGAGTGTGGAAGCCAGAGGTAGGCCCCTCCTGTTGCTCTCCACATTACTTATTGAGACAGGTCTCTCACTGAACCAACTGGGCAGACTTTATCAGCTGGCTAGACTGGCTGGCCAGCCAACTTCAGGGATCCACCGGTCTGCCTTGCCACTAGGGTTACAGACATGTGTAGCCATGGCCAGGTTTTCATGTGGGTGCTGGGAATCCAAACAGGTTTTCACGTGTCTGCAGCAAGACTTTCACCAACAGAGCCATCTCCCCAGTCACAAACTCTTTATAAAGCCACAAGCTACAGCTGTTTGCCTAGCACAGAGGAAAACACACTGGTACACTGCCTTCAGGCAGCGTAATCCTCCCCTCCCCCTTCTCTTGTCCTTGCTGGACTTTGCAGCTCAAGCAGGATTTGAAAGGGATTAGAAAAAGGATCCCAAGTGCTTGCCCTAAATCCCAACCACCACAGCTGCAAGAATGAGAGAGCAAAGCCAAAAATGAGACAGCGAAGCCAGTCATGAAAACGGGAAGTGGGAAGGCCTGGGAAGTTGTCCTGTCCAGAGCAGCTCACCAGGCGGTGACTTGTCACGCAGAGCTGGCATATGCACCTCCTCATTGCAGCCATATGATTCCAACGGTCTTCGAAGAAGGGGTGCCCCCAAGGCCAGTAGCCTGGCAGGAAGCCACATGTGACACATCCTCATATAATATCCGAACCCAGTACTAGGAGCCAGGTGCATATAAGGTGAGCTTCTTCAAACAGAGACCCCACAAACTGCCTTTAGGACCCAGAAATAAGAACAACAGAAACCTAACATTTGCAAGATATTCTAAACTCTTTTCAAGGTGATTTCATCAGTGACCTAATTTTACTGTCAGAACAACTATTGAGAAGAGTGTTAGACTTGTACCCATTGCACAGATGAGAAAACGGGGGTGCTGAAGAGTTTGTGAGTCTTTCATAATTCAGAAAAAGAGAACACTAATACCAACCTCTCAGGGCAGTTGTAAACAAGGAGCCAACAGGCAATAGCTGCATATGCAAGCATTGTGGACCCTCCTCTGCCCACCCTCCTCCCTCAGCCCCCACAGTCAGCTCAAGGCAGGGCAAGAGCAGAAGCTAGAGCTTATGGCTGTTCAGTTGGCACATAGGCGCCTGCACACACACCCAAAGAGGGCAGGGGACTAAACACCAGGTGAGCCCTGAGACCCAAAGGCTGTCTGCCTGAGAGGCACCTGTGCTCCTCATCTTCACGAAGAGGCCCATGATCTAGCACTTGGCCCTAGGCTGGAGCTAGACACTATCAGGATGGCCCAGGACAGCACCCCCACACACACACCAGAAGCCACACCGGCCTACCCATTCAAAGCAAGTCCGAACTTATTTCTGGGATGATGGTCCCATGGTCTCTACCTGCTGAGGAGGTTGTGGAGTCAGGCTTTGGCCTCACCACAGAGATTCAAAGGAAGGAGATTCCACAGAGGACTACAACCCCAAAAGTTCTCTTCTCCTAGAGACATTTGGTAGGAAGAGCTTTTGCTCAAACTGAGATTTTCATTGTGAGTTTTACTCAAGGCATCAACACCCCACTGAGTATCACAATTTGAAGAAATCCTGGAAGGTCCATGTGGAATTGTGTGCTAAACTGGAATAGTTCCCATCAAAACAAATGGGTAGTTTCCATAATGCTTGGACATTTAACAAAAATACCACAATGGTCCAAACTGTGGTTAGAGATTCCAAGAGAGTTGTAGCTCCGAGCTGAAATCATTTTCTAGCAGCCTACTCTTAAGGACTCAGAGCAGTTCAGCGTGTCCCTAGAAGGCTCGTTCAGTGGTTCTCAGCCTAGAGTACACACCCCAGTTCCCTGCAGGAAATCTTAAAAGCTGAGGTTGGTGAGCTACATCCCTCGAGCTAGTGAGTTTGGAGAGGCGTATGAAAACTCGCCTTTCTAACAAGGAGAATGGTGACAGTGATGTTCCTGGTCCAGAGATCATGTCTGGGAATGACCAATCTCTGGAAATAAAAAGAATTCTGGGAAGTCCTGAATTCACTGCCTCAGTGCGAGTCCTCCCACAAGGTGGGACTCCGAAGCTCTGTGGTTGGAAATACAGTGAGTAATGCATCAACATCTGTAGAATTAAGTGGAATCTCAGGTGTAAAAGTGGCTTCAGGGGAAGGGATTGATTCAAGGCAGTCAGGGCAAGGAAAAATGAGAGCCTCCAAAGCAGAAAGTTCTAGAACAGGTGTGGATCCTGTTTGTGTGATCCTGTTTTAGTCCCTACATCTTTGCCATTATACACAGCATCACCATGGTTGAACGTTTAGTTCATGGATTTTCACACTAATAAAATACAAGCCAAGGGACCCCGCATAGAGCCAAGACTCTACTTTACAGAAGGGGAAACTGAGGCTTTGTAGAAATGGTCCTTCCTCTGAGGGCTGTCATGCTCACTACAGTCAGGCTGGAATAATAATGGTACCTTGCCTACCAGTTCAAGCTCCCCTTAAAACATCCTCAATCCAGCTAACACGACAATATAAGCTTTGCAAACGCTTGAGAACACGGAAATACTTTCTGTGAAAAACCTGTATCTTCTCCACAACAGTCAACTGAGAGAAGTTTCCAGAAAAATGGACTCTCTCCTGAGTGATCCTCTCGTGTTAACTGCTCGTGCTGAGGAAGGGTCCTCCTTCTTCTTGGCATGGGGAAAGACACACAGTGATCTTCCTCTTGGCCCCTCATGACAGGACATTCAGCCGCACTTGGATAAGGTTGTGTGAGCACATAATAAAATGTCATCCCTCTCGCCATAAAGCGATGGTCTGGACTCTGTCAACAGCACTTCCAATCCTGTCATCTTGACTCAAAGTCCTGGCACTGAGGAAAGTCTCTTGCCCTTCCAGAGCAGGATCTGAGCCAGGAGGATTTTAAGAACATGTCTACCCCGCAGGATGACAGTGTGCAATCTCACAACTATTTCCTCTCCTTCGGCTGCAGCTTCGTCACTAGTCTGACTCTGGCTAAGGTCAATCGCAGTAAATATTTGGTGCCGCCTGCCTGGAATGGGGAGGGATGTGAGTCTCTATAAGAGTAAAGTAATTTCATCTGGAGGGGCCTCTGAAATTCTCAGGGAAACCCCAGTTAAGTCCTATGTTCTCAGTACAAGTTCAGGCTGTCACCTTCTGCCCAGACAGTCCTGAGCATCTCTGTAAGTTCTTTGACCTTCAGTCTCTTATGAATACATGCGTATGAGTGTGCATGCGTGTGTGTCTGTGTGTCTCTATGTGTGTGTGAGCGCGTGCGTGCACTCAAGTGTGTGCATGTACTGCTCGTATGTGTGGGAGCCAGAGGACGACCTTGGCTGTCATTCCTCAGAACCACCCACCTTCCTGTTTGTCTGTGCTGTGCTCTGTTTTGAGGTAGGGTCTCTCTCAGCAGGGAAGCTAGACCTGGTGGCCAGTGAGCCCAGTGATCTACCTGTTCCCGCTACCCCAGCCCTGGATGAAAAGTGTGTGACCCCATGCCCACCTTTTTTTTTTTAAGGTTCTAGGGATGGACTCAGGTCTTCATGCTTGCCTGTCAAGCACTTGACCAACTAAGCAATCTCCCCGGCCTAATCCTCAGGCTTCCGTAAAACGGGCAAGAAAACCTCAGAGACCGACAGGGGACATCACAGTAAGTTGTAGATCACTGAGCTGTCCGGCCTTGTTTGGAATGTTTTACTTGTGCTGGCCTATTTGGTCCCTAGTCACCTGAGCGCCTGACTGGGTCATTTCTGTTTTCACTTTACAGATGAGGACATGGCTCCAGAGAGTCCAAAACCTGCTCATAGTCTCCTTCCTGCCCAGGAGGCAGCGAAGTCGGATCTGGACTGTCTGACTGTGAGAGTGTGAATGGTAGGGACTCACGCTCTACCCACCAAGTTGTGCTCAGCCCATCCTTTTCACCGTCCATTCCCAGAATCCTCGAGGTACACCAGGACTGCACTTGCTCTCTGGGGTCAGTTCTTTCCTCTCCTGGGATGATGGCCTGCGCACCAAGGCCCACACTTGCCTGTTACCTGTCCAGTGCTTTCCCCGGGGTAAATGCCTGTGTGTGTGTGTGTGTGTGTGTGTGTGTGTGTGTGTGTGTGTGTGTGTGTGTTTAATTAGCAAAATGCTGAAAAAAAATACTTGCCTTCCGGAATAGCAGGAGCCCGGGCCTTTAGGCTGCCGGTCATTTACGTCTGCATTCACTTGACCAGGCTTACCGAGGGTTCAGCAGGTGTGAGATCTCAGGAGACCGAAGGATGAGAAGTGAGGTAGCAAGACCGCATCGCTGGCCTTGCAGTGACTATGGGGACCCCGGGGGAAGGTAGCTGGGACAACAGAACGGGTCTCAGAGACCTGAGGCTTCATATCAGTTCCCAGAAAATCCCACAAGCAGATGGTTTGTGGGCACTAAGAGAACTGAAAATGTGATGATACCAGTGAAAAACTGTGATAGTTCCTGGGGCTCTGACCAAATTAGAAACTAGAGTGTGATTTTAAACAGCCTAAGGCTGGCTTGAAGACAGAGCTCGTGATGTGTGAGACCAGTGAGCGTTTAGGCGTTTCATTGCGGCCACCTTCAACCTTCCCACACCCGGAAGCCGGGCAAACGCTGGATGTAACAGAGCTACTGCATGGATCAGGAGGGGACAAAGGTGACAATGAGTCAGTGGTTTCCTCTGGGAAAGCAAGCAACAGGGAGAGGGAAGGGAGAAGGGGCGGCAATGTCGGCAACATCAATGGATGCCAAGTCCAGATAAGACCTCCGAATTGCTGAGTTCAAGCCTAGGAGGGAGCCGAGACTGGGAGTGCAGTCACTCTAAGCAGAGATAACAGATGCTAATAGCTGGGCTCAGGGTAGCCGAGCCATGGGAGAGCAATGCATATGGACATTGAGCTCATCGGTATCATGGCAAGAGTAACCCTGGAGCCAGGCACAGTGAGCTACCAGCTACAACTGCTCTAGTCTGGAGCTAACCAGAGGGGCTTTGGATTACCTAAGGGCAGTGAAACAATACCAGACACAACGGAAAAATGTGACTAGGACTTTATAAAGAAACAGGAAAAGATGAGCTCACAAAGATTTTCTATGGAACACGGAAGAGATGAGAAGGGGGTGGCTGGAGTGAAGACCACCACACAGGCAATGCTGTGATGCTCTCCCAGGCCACACGCCACGCGTGGTTCTGTCTCGTGTGCCTCGAGACTGTGATTGACTTGCAGGTGGTTGAAAGAATATTTCAGAAATCATTTGAATCATCTTTGACCCTTGTTCCCAGTGTCACTTGGCCTGTATCACCATGTATTTAGGCACTTGATTAGAGCGCCGTGGACCCTGGCCAGCCCAGGAAGACCTATAATCAACTCTTGTTTCTCCAACTCCAGTGTTAGTCAGGGGCCAGCTGCTGCATTACCTCACGGTAGACACTGTACAAAGCCAATGAGCAATGGCTTTCTCTGAACCAGATGCTTCCATTCACATCTTCCAAATGTACCCTTGGGAACAGCCCCGGATTCTGGTGCCTTAGGACAACACTGCCAGGGGCCAGGGCATCTTTTGGACTCATTGACAAACCCTTTCCTCCTCAGTAATGCTTTCCGAATACTTCTCCAAATTCAGGGGGAGAAACAGCTCTTGTGGTCTCTCTAGGCACAGTGTGGGGAGGAACCATGAATAAATGAAGTAACAGAGTCAAGATCATGACTTATTTCTAGAATAATGAGTCACAACTAACACGATGAAACCTAATTGTAGTTAATGCCACACACTTTACACAGGGTTTACAATTCAACTATGAACACAGGGAGAAAGACTTCCTGATCACAGCTGGTCACAGGTTAGAATCAGGACCAGAATGGCAGGCAAATCATCTAAGCCGGTGCATCCAGCCTCTATTCACAGCTCCAGAACAGCAGGCAAATCATCTCAGCCGGTGCATCCAGCCTCTATTCACAGCTCCAGCTCCTGGACTTTAACACAGAATTTAGCTACAGAATTCCCATCAACACCAATTAGACCCCTCCAACCTTAGTACCTTAACCGTCTTTCAGTGGCCCTCCTGACACAAGGGACCTCAGTCTTCTCTCATATCAGAACTTCCCATGAATCTGGGACATGTCATTGATCTCAGTCACAGCAGCTGGTCCAGCAGCTGTGAAGTGCTCAGGGCAATTAAGCCTCAGGGAGCTATTTACCAAAGCCACCATCCCAAGGTCACTGATGTCTGCACCATCCCAAGGTCACTGGCGTTTGCAGAAAGCTGAACACAGGATCTTTAGTGTCCCCAAGTGTCCCACCACTCCCTGCCCTCAGTCTTCTACCCTGCGATGTCTGGCTGCTCGTCTGTGGTTCTCTGCACACCATTCTCTCAGCCACAGATACCCTCAGCCCTGGGGTGTCTTATTTTGAACACCTTCTTCCCCATGTTTCATGCATGAAGCTGTGAAGTCACATGCATGTCTTCTATGAATCCTGGGACTCAGCCAAGTGCCAGGCAACTGGAGGCTCTTATCTGAATCTTTGCTTATTCCCTTTGGTGTGGACATGGAGGTGTAAAGAGAAGTTTAGGTAGCCCTCTACGAGCTTGGGTGACTGGAGAAGCTGATCTGGAGACACAATGAGGGACAGCCATAGCAGGCCTCCACAGTGGCCTGGTGACATCAGAAACACTTGGCAATGTATTCAAAATGCTGAGTCCTAAGCTTAATGAGTCAGATTCTTTCCAGATGAGGAATATGCACTTGTTCCAGGTGGTTCTTGGGCACAAGCCTGAGAACTCTGTCTCTAGGGACACGTGGGCGTGAGAGGCTGTCTGCCAGGAGCCTAGAAGAAGGGATGGCAGAGTACTCCATGCCTGTGTCCCAGCAACCTCTCCCTACCAGGATGGTCTTAGGAACATGGCGACCCCATACCCTGGGCTCCCTCGTGTCTCCTGGAGCAAATACTGTTCCATTGCTGCCTCCTGTCCGTGACAGCGATGCCAGTTTTCAGTTAGAATCGGACAGTAGAGAGGGTAGACCGTTACTGCAGAGGGAGGCGTGGGGGAAGGAGGAAAGGGAAGATGAGACTTAGAGGTTCCATGGCAAGTCCATGGACATGGGGCTGATGGGAGGTGGTGGAAAGGAATCAAAAATCCATCAGCCTGACTTGCATTTCCAGCCACTGTTCCACAGTAGGTAACCTAGCATGTAGCTTCCTTTCAACAGGAAAATGTCCCACAGACATGGCACCTTACCCTCCTGGTTACCCAACAACACACTAACATGCACCTTAGACCGGAAGGAGAACCAGGAGATTTAGTGCAAGTCAAGACCCAACTTCACACCTGCTGTGTCTCCCGGGGTGCGAAAGATGTGCTTTCACTACTGTAGTGATGGCAGTTGAGTAGTGATACTTACTGTGCAGTGTCACCCCTTAAACACGATGCGTGCTGGCCCAGAAGCCCAGCCAACCAGACAGCACCTTGGCATCACAGCTGGACTGCATTCATCTTCATCTCATGAGAGCCTGGCTCAGATGTGTACATAGGGTGGTGAACTGAAGGAGGGTGCCAGGCACTGTGGAGACGTAGACATTCTAAGACGCAGCTCCTGGCCTCGGGAGACTCACAGCGCTCACTGATGCAAGTAAGTGGACTTCACAGCAAGGTGAGGTGAGGTGGGCTGTATATCACTCAAGCCACATAGTGTACTTCACCACGGGAGCCTCGCCCTCATCATGGGGAGTATTTCATGAACCCAACACAAACACACAACACACACAATCTCTCCTGGCCTGCCACTGAGAATAAAAGCCACAGTGTATGTCAAGACCCTCCACAGCATAAGTGGACTGCCTGCCTGGTAAAGATAAAGAGGAAGACTACTGAAGGGAAGGGAAACACAGGAGCTAGACTCCCTATTCTGCCAGACATTCCTGTTTTCTTATCTCTGCTCAGAGTATCTCGCTGGGTAAAGAACAGTGGACACCATTGAACTTACTGTGCACCAAGGCTTCCCTCAGGAAAGACAAAAGACCAAAGACGCGGTCTAAATGTCAACCTGTACCTTCTCCCGAACCCCTACAACTGGAACCCAAGGTCACAGGCAGAGGCTGAGGCTTCGGAATTGCTAGGCTTGCTCTGTGTGCACGTTAGCTCAGAAAGGCATGTACAGAGGGACAAATGTACAGAGGGAGACCCCATTGGGTGAACTCTTCCTAACCTGGAGGCACACACAGGAAGTGTCCCTACAAAGCACACCAGTTTCTTTTTCCATTGTTTTACAAAGATTCTATGAGAGGGCATCTTTGCATAGCAATACTGCTCAATAAAGTAGAGTCCGGGCCGGGCCCCGAGGGATCCCAGCTGACACCAGCTCAAATGTCAGTTGTTCCTACTGACTGTCTGTCATAAATTCCTCCAGGAACACAGCTCTCTCAGGCCCTCAGGGAATATGCACCAACGAGCCAGAAAAAAAAATGCCACATCACCCCAGTCTCCTCTGGTAGCTATTACAGGAGCTGAAAGGAGGCATCACGACACTCAACAACTGTAGTTTCCAGAACCCTGGATAAGTTTCTTTAGAAGAGAGCCAAAGAAAAGGCTGCCCTCGTTTAGCCCTGGAGAAAACAGTTTCCAGTGAATTGAAATTTCCTTGCAAGGTAAAACAGTTTGCTCAGACCTCACTAAGACACACCCTCTCAGAGTCTGCTGCACAAACAAACTCTCCTATAATTGATAAAGAGAGGATAAACAAATCCTTACACAGTCAACGGGTTTAGAGCCTTTAAAAAAATATGAGCTGACAGAAGAAAAACAGTATTATTATCAAATAGTCTGGCCATTTTTCTTGCTTTCTCAAATTGAGAAATA